AGTAGGGTTTGGGTGTAGGCGGATGTGGGTGGCTGCGGGTGTGGGTGGATGTGGGTGGCTACGGGTGTGGGTCTGAGTGTGGGCGTCGGTGGGTGTGGGTAGTGGGTCTGTGTGTGGGGTGTGAGGGTGGGTGTCGATGTGAGTGTGGATGGTGGAGTTCTTTCATTTTACACTCGCATCCACACCCACACCCACACCCACACCCACACCCATCCTATTTTGAACAGCTAAAAAGACAAAGGTAAGTTCAATCCCTTGATCATGGAAAAAGACTAAGCACTAAATAAGAAGGAACTAAATCGAATAGAATATACGTCAATTTTTTTCATGCTTGCAAACAAAAAGATATGAAAAAGATTGTAGTCATCTACGGGAAACAAAAGAATTTGTTCTAGGTCTTTTTAACTTTATCACGGGCGGTGAATTGCTTTTAATAAGGCTGAGACAGTTTTCAAATGCATTTGAATGTTACAAACTTTTCCAGCATCTCCGGCTCCTGAGTTATCTTAATTCTATCGCGATTTTCGGAACCAAACACCAATTTCAACTTTTCTTCTGCTTTTTGTTCATGACCTGTAAATATCAAACAAGACTGCTGAAAGCCGAGTCTTCGCACTTCATAGAGAAATCGGGCACCGGCCGTACTACCCGACTCCTCATTCGTACGCTTCATATCGGTGACGATTCTGAACGTCTGACTGTCTTTTAATCTTTGCCCGAACACCGAGCGAAGAAATGCCAGTGCTGATTCAGAATTTGATTTCGGAATAAAATGAACATTAATATGAGTTCCTAGTGTGCTTGCCTTCTCCATGTGTCGCTTCATTTCCCACTTTGCATCAAAAATATTGTCGTCGACCCAGAGTATGACATTTTTACACAATCCTAGTTCAACCTAGAGCATTGCAACAGAGTTTAGAGCTTTTTCTCCAATGAACAACGTACTTGTCTCAAAAATATGTGATTTTTGCTAAGCTCTGCGTCATGTTTGACACTGCACACCAGAAAAGATGAATGCGGTAAGAAAAGAACTTCGTCTTCTTCATCAGCACAATTTGAAAAATACTGAATGCTTCGACCAGTTAGTGATAATATCGTAAAGATGGTATTACGCTTGGTAAAATGTGACATGTCTTTCCCGCCTTTATCTGCGCTGCTAAACTGAAGCCACGTGACGATATCTCCAGGGACGTAATCCATGAGGTCGTTTGCATCTAGGTTCACGAAGCGTACCACTGTTCCCCAATAAAAGTTGATATGAGCGAGCCCTTTAATTAGATAGTACATAATGACGGCTGCGTGAATGTCAGCTTTATTACCATCCGGATAACGTTCTTCCGAATCAACTAGCCCGCGGGCAACAATATTTGCCTCCATACTCAATTTGGCACTGCCCATACCTGTGTAGAATGCAATGGCGAGGGCATATGCTTTTGCGTCATCCTCTGCAACACCCTTATCTGTAAAATACCGAAACGTTGTCCTGCTCTTATTACAATGCATATTCACTTCTTCTGGACCGTAACAGTGAGCACGGCAGGCCTCCATTAAGGTGTCATACGATGGTGATGTACCACCAGCTTGTACCATTTGTTCTAACGTCGGTCCGAAGTCGTCTTCAATCACCGCAAAATGTTTACGTTTTTCCATAACTTCCACTAAATTTTCACACAGTACAGCATACTCGAGAGAAGTTTCAACTATTTCAGAATCGAATTCTGCCCAGTATGGAAATTTTCCAAACTTAATCGTTCCAACTCCAATTACATACATAGTAGGTTTTACCTTTTTCTCTTTATCTCCAAAATGCGATTTCGCGTTTTGAACTATCTTGAATACATTAGTATGCATACAGCGCCCTAGCCGTCTTTCCACCTCAACTTCTGGAATAAAATGGGACCCAGTTCCCAATGCAGACATATTTATTATTGTATTCTGAAATAGCGTGTAACAAGAACATAATAATAAAATAATAATAACGTCCCATAGGCCAATCGCCCGTTGGGACCGGCCGCGATTCTTATTATTAAGCTCCACATCCAGCCGAGTTGAGTGTGGGTGTGCGTGTGGTTGTGGGCGGGTGTGGCTGTGTAGGTGAGGGTGTGGGTGAGGATGGGTGTAGGTGTGCATGTG